AGCTGTCACGGCTCAGGTGCTGTGGCGTGGCCACCTGGTCTACCGTAGGTGTAAACTTCCGCGTAGTGGTAGCTGTCCACTCAGGAGCAGATGAGGCTAATATACACCTTTGCTTGTGTCGTTAGTGTTGCCTTTTTGTTATGCCTAGGGGCTGCTCACCCTAGAGCGTGGGCTGATAGGTGGCTTGATGTTGAGGGGTTTTCTCCTGATTACTCCCGTAGTGTCGTAGGCCAGCTTGGCCAAACCATGGCAGCCAAGCGATGTGCGTGGGAGACCAGAAATGATATCTGCGGGGTTAGTTTGTCTGATCTGGCGGAGTTGTCTCTTGTCACCGGGGCAACATGTACGGGCATGGTTTCCATTCCTGCTGCTCAGATCAACGAGACTTCAGAAGGGCTTGCCTTCGTGACGCAGACAAGACTGCAAGAGCTCTCAACGATACGAACGAGTCGACCGTGCGCTCTCATTCTCAAAGGGTTCATTTCCCAGAAGATTGTCAGCCTGGGCATCGCATCTAATCGCATGCATCAGATTGTTCTTACGTTGTGGGATGGCGTTGCTTCTTTAGTTGAGGCTCGCGCTGTAACATTGGTGAACCTTGCAGTTGATGAAATGGATTTCATCAACAAAACCCATTCAGATGATGAGTTAGCTCTTCGTGATGAGTCAAAGCTGCCAGTTCTGTTTGAGATGCGGAAAACAGAGGCGGCGGCTTCGGATTGGAAGGCATATGGAACTGTCGCTGCTTTCAATGTGTACATCGAGTCGTTGTTGAAGTCATTGGGTCTCTTGAGCCAGTCCATCATGCATAAGACCATTGAGAAGCAAGACTACTTTGTGCGCAGGGTTCAGATTCCATCCGGTGCTCGGGACGCCGTGTATCGGCGCTCAGGTGCATGTTCAGTTCAATGCCGCGCAGTTCGGGGCCCACGGGATCCACAAGAAATGGGTTTAGAGGTTATGAAAGTGCATGGTGAGCAAAACCTCGCGGAGTTCTTCAAGTTTGGGGAAGGTCTTCAAGGGCACTTGGGCGTATTTGCTTCACAAGGCGCAACATACGTTAGGATTGCAGATTCCCATCTGGCCGCAGCTCGCGGACACTGGTTTCCTGGCGATGAGAGGTTTAATGAAGATAACTCTGCAGTCAAGTGCTCCAAGATGTTCCGCATACAAGGACTCCCCGCAGGCTCATCGATGACAGACGTGATTACAGTGGCAAAGACGTTTGAGTGGGATATTGTGCCCATTCGAATTTATCACTATCAAGAGCTTGCTTCCGCCGTCGTTGCAGCACAGTGTGAGCCGAAACAAACCCGTGTGGCTACCAGTCTTGGCACTCTTCTCGTCACTGAGGAAGTACGACAGTACCGCAAAGCCAACAGGAAGGACCCATCGCAGATGCAGTCCCAAGGAGAGTCTCTAACACCAGCTTCCTCAACTTCTTCGACTACGACAGCCGTCAGAGCCCTCAACTTTTCCACACGTCGGCCAGGACCGTCTTTGCTGCCTCCCCCAGATACGGTCATCCATGGCAGAGTGGATGCACTAGAGAAGCAGTTGGGGCAAGCAGTTAAAGATATTGAGGCCTTACGAAGTGATCAACTCGACACCAAAGAACAGCTGAGGGACTTGAAAAGTTCTCAAGACGTAGGTTTTAGAGATCTTCTCATGGCGATTCAAGAGCTCAAAGCCGGAAGCTTCGCATCGAACAGTTCTCCCGCGCACGCCATTTCTCCACCTTCGAAGCAACAGCGAGTTTAATACTCGCGAGATCAATATGGAGAGCCGGTGATGTCTTGAGCTTTGTCTCATCCGTGATTATAAGAGACGCCCACATTGCCTGTTGCGTAATCGCCTATGCGTGCTTAGTGCTTATTGCCTGTCACATCAAGATTTGGCTTTGTGGGCTGCTTATGGTGGTTCTCCTCATTTATTGGTGGTTTCCTTATGGGATGTTCAAGTCCAAAGGTAAACAAGTCAGGGTGAGACGAGTTTTGCGGACTAAGGTGATGTCTGTCACCATGGCTTTGTTTATCTCATGCGCCTATTGCCCTTTTTATGTTAATGATGCTGTGCCCTTGTGTAACATGGGTCATGGTACAGTCACAGATACTGAAAGCGTGAATCAACGCGATTTAATTCATGTCTATACGACACAGAGTGTTAATCAACACTGCGTTTGCAACTGCAGGTGCAAAGCACCAATCGTAAAGGCTGGCCCCATCCGTGGGGAATTTTGTCAAAGCTGTTATGGGACGAGTGATGAAGCTTTTAGGTTGGATTATTCTTCGCCGCACCCTATCTCCTGGGAAGTGTTTGTTCCCTGTAAAGGTTACAAAGGTGAAGGGCCTTTAACCCTCGTATCCGCCAACGTGACTTCATGTGTCAAGCATTTTGCACGCATTGCCACCATAGATGCCCGCATCAGCGATGAGGGCGGTGCGAGCTGCATGTTTTTGCAAGAGAGCAGAATCCCACAATCACAAAGTACGAATCTCGCGCGACGGTTTGAAAAGAAAGGTTGGAAGTTAACGGTCGGGCCGCAGCCTTGCACTAGGAAACTGAAAGGTGGGCAGGTGGCGAGATACCGTCAACCTACAGGTGGGGTGGCAGTTGTGTCGAAACCTCACTGCGTCACGATTCCGGTTTCTGTACCTGATTCCTTCTCTTCTATTCAAAGCTGTTGTCAAGTTGTTTGGGTGTCGGTTGGGTGTTTCGGTTTTTATGTGTTTAATGTGTATTTGCCTACTGGGAAGGGCGCTACCGCTGATAGGAACGATCTTATGGATCACATCTTCAGTTTCGCAGCTTCTCTCGGTAATCACCCTATAGTGTGTTGCGGGGACTTTCAAAGCCCGCCAGAGAGCAATGCATCCATTGTCACTTCGTTCATCGCTGACGAGTGGTTTGATGTCTATGCTGAACAGCAACAGGCCCAGGGGTTACAAATCGA